GGAAATGAAATTTAAGGGCTGGTTATGGACTTGTATTTTGGAAATCTGAATGTATATATATTGGATTCTTGTGTTGTAAGTTTGAATATATCGAAGGAAACGAATTTTATTTAATTTGCCCTTTTAGCCATTAATTGCTCGTTAGTTTAAGTATAAATGGACTTGAGTTCTGGCGAGAGATAAGTAGGCGCCCCACCGATACCCTTGGGTACGCCCTTGGGAGAAGTGGGGGCGTCACACACCGCTGCCTTTATATCAGAAAAAAGGGCTTGGTAAATAGTAGTCGGGTGCATCCGGATCCCATCAAACATCGATGCGTTCCGTGCCCTCCAAATGTGCCAGCAAATGAAACTCGGCAACAACCGGAAGATAAGCCGCCGGTGTGCTGATCTCGGAGATGACATCCACCAAGCCACTACTCTAGCCTGCAAAGAAGACCCTCCATGTGAGAGACCGCACATGCTAGTAAAATAATTCCATACATCCATAGTGACCTGCCCCTCGGAAAATGCATGTTCCACCGTCTCGCTTGCTCCTTCAGGACAACACAAACATTTTGACGACATCATCTGAAACCCCATCATACACAAAATATCAGGGAATGGCAACCTCCCCAACACCAAACGTAGCATGAAGAAGGAGACTTTTAACGGGATGCGAGGGTGCCAAAGGTAAGAGTGGACAAAAGAAGAGCTGCGAGCCTGTCGAACCTCCTCGAAAGCTGATGCCACTGAGAACTCGCCAGACAAAGTCAACCTCCATATGGGCTCATCAGCTTGCGCACCGCAAGGAATCGGGTGTAATAAAACGGAAGAAAATAAGTCAGGAGAGAGGGCTCGGGAGATTAAATTTGAGCTCCACCTCCCATTTTCAATGAAGTCATTAAAAGAGAGGGTTCGGACACTACAAGAAAATTGGTCATTAGTGACAACTTTTCTTTGTGACGAAAAAAAGTTGTCACAAAAGGGGATTCTTTATTGACGACTTTCTAACTCGTCACAAACCTCTAATGGGAGCCAACTCATTTGTGACGACTTTTCTAAGAAAGTCGTCACTAGTAAATTCCCGCCAAGATTTAGCAAGAGCGCGGGAGTGTTAGAACACACAATAGTGACGACATTAAGAACATCATCACTATTGCTTGGCCTATATACGGACGACGTTTTGTTGTCGTCACTAATCACTAAAAAAACTAGTTATTAGTGACAACATTTTTTAGTGATGACAATAAATGGTCACAAAAAGAGCTTCTTTAGTCGTGACACGTAAAGTTGTCACAATTGCATCAAAGCAACTAAATGTTTAGTGACGACCCGTTATTTTCGTCACAAACTACACTGCAAGAAATATGGTTATTAGTGACATCATTTGCTAGTGACGAAAAAAGTCGTCACAAAACGTGTTTGTTTAGTGACGATAAGGAAAGTTGTCATAATTGCTCAAAGCAACTAAGTCTTCAGTGACGACCTTGAAAAACGTTGTCACTAAAATGATCTATATAGTGACAACTTCTAATATCGTCACTGTTACTCTACCGATTCGGATTTAGTGACAAGAATTAATCGTCACTGTTTAAAGTACTTATTTCTAAGTCACTTTCATTAATTCTATTGTGCCACCCTAACTTTTGCGATTTAGCCCCAAATGTTGTAAAAAATTTCATTAATTCCATTATGATACCTTAACTTTTACAATTTAGCCCCATATGTAGTACACCGATTTCTTTAATTCTATTATTACTCCCTAACTTTTGTAATTTAGCCCCATATGTAATTCACCAATTTCATTAATTCTACTATGGCACTCTAACTTTTGCAATTTAACCCCCATATGTAATACACCAATTTTATTATTTCTATTATGGCACCCTAACTTTTACAATTTAGCCCCTATTTTTTTATTAGGAAATTGCGAATGGTATCTTGATAAACTATGCATAAATATTTTATAATTTTCTCAAACTTAAGTAATAATTTGTTATAAACTCTAAAGATATATCTTTCATTACAATAGTTATAAGGCAGGCAGGTCTTTTTATCAATGGAATAAGAAATTTATGCCAGATTTATCCTTTGTACTACATGCCAAGTAGTATTAGCAAAGGAATAACAAAGTACTACAAAGTAATTAACAAAATAGCCTTCAGGGAGTGTAGTTTATGGGCAAATGAGCATTATCTATTCAAAGTACCAACTTTTTATGGGCATTTTACTCTCAAACATATAATTTATGATAAATTTATAAATGTTTGTAAGTAAAATTCAAAAAGTGTTACACTGATTTCTTACAAAACGAAAACTGGCAGGTTATCTTTTCAACATAAATTAAATTTTTTTAAAAAAAGAAATGGCCCATAAAGTACCAACTCTTTGTGGGTTTCCTCCATTACATGAACAAATATTCTGCTCTTTATGGGCATTTCACTCTGAATCATTTAATTTATGTTAAATACATAAATGTTTGTAAGTAAAATTCAAAAAGTGTTGCACTAATATTTTTATGAAAGGGAAACTGGTAGGTTTTGTATTTAACATAAATTAAATATGTGAAAGCAAAAAAAAAAGAAATTACCCATAAATCTATGTCTTGCAAATCTATACTAGTAAAATAGTTTCAAACAAAATTAAACATTAAAATAAACTGTAATTTATACACATTAAAATATCTGTAATTTATACACATTTTGCAACTACTACTTTGTGTTTTCTCTGTAATGAATTTTTTAACTATTGAGAACTTAAGTTTTGTCTTGCAAATCTATACTAGTACAATAGTTTTAAACAAAATTAAACATTAAAATAAATGTTTGAAAAAGAACAAAAGTACATTTATCACTTGCAGTAATGTAGCAAAATTTTCTCAACCATTATCAATATTTTCACAAAAGTATTAAAAACTAGCAATTGACAATATTAAAAACTAGCAATTTAATTAGTGACGACTTTTCTTGTCATTATAATCTTGAATAAATTAGTGATAACATTATGTCATCACTAAATTTTCTTTGATTTTGACTTAACAATAATGTCTTATTAATAGCATTTGATTATTTTTAATGAAAGTCTGTTATAACCATAGAATTTGACTTTCGTTATTTTCAATTAATGATGTACTTTAGTGCTGCAATTATAAAAAATTGCAGGGCTAAAATATTTGCAAATTATAAAAGTATATTTTCACTTATATGTAATTAACAAATTTTGCCACCTATATTGATGAAAATTTGTGTTTTTGTACTAAAAAATAAAGAATAATACTATAGCAATAAAATCTATGCTTCAAACCAAATTAAAAATAAAAAAAAGCATGATGATTGGTCTCAAATGTTGGGAAAATGATTATTTTTATTGAAACTATGTTATAACCATATAATTTGAGTTTAATTATTTTCAATTACATGATGTTCTTTAGTGCTGCAATTATAAGAAATTAGTATAAAATATTAGCAAATTATAAAAGTACATTTTCAATTATATGAAATTAACAAATTTTGCCACCTATGTTGATGAAAATTTTTATTTTTTGCTAAAAAATAAAGAATAATACTATAGCATTAAAATCTATGGTTCAAACCATATTACAAATCTAGAAAAAAACATGATTTTTGGTATCAAATGGAGGGAAAATGAGTGAAGTCAAAATTTTGATCAAATCATAGTGAAAGTGCCGCGCAACAAAAACAATATCCAAAGCAAAGCAAAGACCAAAGCAGCGGAACACATTCTGAAAACAAAAGCAACGGAACACTTGGTCTGAGTTAAAGCAAACAAACAAGCTTCTGCACTGAGCTAAAACAGAGCTTCCGAGCTGAAACACAAACTTTCACCGAGATGAAACAAACAAGCTTCTGCACTGACGGCTGGGAGCAGAGGGTCTGGAGGGCTGATGAAGCAAGAGAGTTGGCGGCTGGTTGAGTGAGGAAACAAGAGGGGCAAGAGAGAGAGAAAAACAACGGCGGGGAAGTTGATGGCTGAAGGTAAGAAAAACCAGAGAGAGTTAGGTTTTGACAGACGGGGAGAAAGAGGACGGCGAGATAGCTGAGAGAAAAACCAGAGGAGAGGAGAACTTCGAGAGAAAAAAGAGAAAACCACCAGCGGAGAGAGTTAGGAGTAACGGGCTGGGGGTTGCTTACGGCTGGAAAAGAAGGGGCAGCGCTGAGTGAGAGAGAGAGAGAAACAACGGCTAGAGGGGGCGGCTGAAGATTGCGAGAGAACAAGAGAATAGAAGAGAAAGTAAAGGGGGCGGCGGACGGGCTGAACAGAAACAAAAGAAACAAGGACGGAGAAAAGGGAAGCGAATCAGCACAAAACAGAGCTTCCGCACGGCACCTGATACTTTCACCCACACAACAAATCCGTTCTTTGGCTTCTCACTAGCATCACCATGGCTGTCCAGCATTAAAGGGCAAGGTTTTCATTGGAAAGGTTCGTTTTTCTCTCTCTTATACATTTTACCCAATTTTTCCAAATCCCTAATATTCTACAATATATTTTGCAAATTTCTGCCCAAAATCTCGAAGCAGCTCTTGATTATTAGATGCTATCATAGCTATGTTGTTATTTACTTGATCATTTTCTCCAATTGCTTTATGGCCCTAATTTTGATAATAGCTTTTGGCATATACTCTAGTTTTCTTCGTCAACCATATTATCACATCACTAAATGACTTTCTGATCTTAGCCGGTGACCACAATTTCATTTAGCTATGGTTTGTTTTTCAATTTACTTGACCGAGCTCAGGTAGGACATTAGGAACTGTGATGAGTCAATTTCAGGCTAATTGTAAAGCGCATAGCCATCAGTGGAAGCTTTAAGGACTTTCACTAACCTGGAATTGGATGTTCTCATGTTTAGTTCAAAGTCACGTATTCCTTAAAAGATATGAGCAATTTGAAAACCTGTCTTTCTTGTTAGTAAACTGATTATGCTCAAAGTCCCCTTTTTCCTCAAGATACTCCAGATTCTAAGTTTGTTAAAAGGAGATGCTAAATTTATCTTTAATGGATGTTAAAGATGCTGGTGGAGAAGGTCTATGCCTTGTATTCAAGTCCTTACAGATGCATGCCTTTTTTCCTTTTTGCCCCCTCTTCTTTTTTTGCGAGACTTTTCTGCTGCCAATAGAGTGGTGCACAGAAGCTAGAAGTACCTGTTCAGTGGTATGCAGTTGTCATTGTGCATTGCCCTTGCTTTTGTTTTTCGTTTTTTTCCCTCCCCTGTAACGTTTTCTTTGACCTTGAAATCCCATGTATTCTGTGCATTACTGAACACTTACAATCTTCATGGTCAAAATTTGTATATGTTACGAGGTTTGATTGTACAAAAATAGAGCATATGAGTTTTGACTGCATGCTCTTTTTTTGCCGTGCAAAAAAGATTGATCTTATATGGCTCTGTAAGTATAATGGGAGTTGATTGGTCAGTATGTGAGGAACTAAAGCAGAGAATTAGATAAGGAAGAACTGGAACTAAATCATTTTGTAAGATTTTAAAAGGCTTGTATGGCAGATTACAGTTATCAATAAGTTGGAAGCTTCATACAGGGAGACTTAGTTATATTATATAAAAGCTGCTTGTTCTGGTTTGATTAGAGAATCTTTTCGTCCTATAGCTGTTTGCTAGTTTATTCCTCTATCAGTGGTTAATTGAATAGGTTACTGTGGGTTATAATATCTGAATACAATTCTTAAGATGTTGACAGTGTTATCTGTTTGCATTAATTCTTGGTTGTCTATTATAACAGGTTGAAATTGCTAAGGCCTATGAAAAAGGTGGAGCAGCATGCCTCAGTGTATTAACAGACCAGAAATACTTTCAAGCAAGGATTTAAACTCTTCAGTCATTTGGTGACTTTTTTCTTCAGGGTCATATAAGCCTATCTCTGCAAGTCAATGTATTTGTTTTTAAGTTAATTCTTACTGCTAATTATCATCACTACTTTTTTGTTTCTGTGCTCCATAAAATAAGGGAGGCTTTGAGAATTTGGAGAAGATAAGGAATTCAGGAGTGAAGGTATTTTTTTTCTTCTTGATGCATATTTCTGCTGAATATTAGCTCGAAGTATTATTTTTGAAAGTGATTGCTGAAACAATTTACATGTGCAGTGCCCTCTGTTATGCAAAGAGTTTGTTATAGACGCTTGGCAAATATACTATGCTCGCACAAAAGGCGCAGATGCAATCCTGTTAATTGCTGCTGTTTTACCAGATCTTGATATCAAATACATGACTAAGATCTGCAAATTGCTTGGTTTAACACCACTTGTGGAGGTATGGTTATTGTTTTCTTCTTTCTTTCCTTTTGCTGTCTTAACAATTAGTAGAACTCAATTCCCTCCTCACTTTTAGTGTTAGATTTAGGACGTTTAAGTCAGGGTAATTTTCATTTTCTTGTTTGTGATTTGTACAAAAATCGGAATATCAACAAAAATCTGTAATGATATCTCAAGTTTGTTTTTCGTCTTCTTCATGAAGAAAAAATTTCTTTTTTAAACATATGTAGGTTAGTGGTCCTTCTGTTCTCATGAAGGCTGTCTAATAATTATCTTGGTACTTTACTTGAAGCAATTTTGGTTTTATTTTGTTTTTCTTGTCAAGTAAAAAGTTTGAAGTATCAATGATTTTGACCTTTGTTTGTCATATCTCATTTTTTAGGTACATGATGAGAGGGAGATGGGTCGTGTTCTTGGGATTGATGGGATTGAACTTATTGGAATAAACAACCGTAACCTCGGTATGTTTCTAAAGAAAATTCTATATCGATCATTTAAATCTTCTCCTTCTTGATTGTGCATTTAAAGTTTGATACCTTGATATTTTGATTCTGAAGCTGCTATCGAGTTTACATTCGATTGTAGCTGTATTTGGACAAAAATTAGTTCCTTGTATTCTTACTAACATCGATGAGAAGGCCTACATATTTTCAAGTAGCTAATCATTTGCTGAAGTGTATATCATTTGCACTGTGATGCTATAAATAATAATACCAGCAAATTAATTCTGTTATGACAATCCCCTACTTCCCTTTTTTTTTTTTTAAACTTTCTAGGAATTAACTTCTTTGACATATTTCCGCACGGCACCAATTGCTAGATGCCAAAATCTGGTGCTGGATACTCTTCCTAGTTATATCTCGTCTTGCTTAGTGCTGATATTCAATATGGTTGCATGATATAACCTTTTTCTCTTAGAATGGTAGTTCGTAAACAGTCAGTCAGGAAAAAATGAGTTAGGTAACCATGGGTAAAGGTGCTCATCTTGAGGATGGGTGAGTGGAAACAAGCTATAAATCCGAAAAGAACAAGGATGAAGATGATAAAAAATGCACAACCTAGAAAAATGTTAAAAGAGCAATGAGTAGCTTACAGAATCAGTACAAGTCATTTGTTGGAGTCTTGCAAGTTAATTTAGCTTTGTCTATCTGCAGAAACATTTAAGGTTGACATCAGCAATACTAAAAATCTTCTTCAAGGAGAACGTGGGAGAATAATCCGAGAAAGAGGCATAATTGTGAGTATCCTATTTCTGCACTTTTCTCATGCCCTTTAAGATTTCTCCTTCTTTGTTAAATTGTTGACAGAGGCACATGACTGCCTCATTACATATTATTTTGTCTAATCACCAATGTATTCATTTTCCTGTCTTCAAAATCTTTAGGTCGTTGGTGAGTCTGGACTTTTTACACCTGCTGATATTGCATACGTGCAAGAAGCTGGCGTCAAAGCGGTATGTTATGAATGTTTTGTAGGAAAGTTGTCTACTTTTTCTACTTCCACAATCATTTCCCATTCCCTTGAATGTATGAGAAGGGGCAGGAAAAGCTGCAAGCAGGCATCGATTCTAGTTGTAAACAATAATTACTGTGAGAGTCCAATTTAATTGTTCAATAAGTTGAGCTATTTAAAGAAGAAGAAAGAAAATAAAAAAAACTGTTTTAGAGAGCTCTTTAGTTGAGCTTATGTAGTGTTGTATTTGTATAGATTGGACTGTGATTTCTAACTTCTTGCTGGTGCTGTAATATGTGGGCCCAAATTATATGAGGTTCTTAATGAATTGTAATTTTTGTCTTAATAATCTAAGTCTCATTACTTGTTCTTTATTATTGTACTCCTCCCCTTACCTACTTCTTTTACTCTTTTATGACAGATAAATGCTATTCATACTAGCTTTTGAAAGATATCTATGGTTATGGTTGAAGAATGTTGAAGACAAAATTGCCTTTTGCTCATGGAGTGGTTCATTTAGATGTTCTTCAATTTCTTAAACTGTGATTGCTTTTGTAAATGTACCTTATGTACAAGTGATATTTTGGACAAATGTTATTTTTGTAGGCATTAGTTGGGTAATGTACACTTGAATTTGGCATTTGAGAATGTTATATTATTACCATGTAATCTAATGCAAATACTTTTGGTTATCAATCGTTCATGTTTATTTATATGGTTTGTTTAAAATCAATGATTTAGCAATGATTACAGGCCAAATTATGACTATTAAGCTATTGAGAAATTATCTAATGACAAAAAAAAGTTGTCACAAAATAGAAAATAAAACTCCTTGTCACAACAGAGATTGTCACTAAATCTAAGTTACATTTGTGACGACAATTGTTGTCAGTAAAATAGTTATATACAATGGCTTTCGGTGCTTTTTAGTGACAACTTTAAGTAGAGCATTTTTGACAAAAGATCAAGTCGTCAATAAAACACTTCCTGATTGTCGTCACTAATGACCACTATTTAGTGACGACAATCAGGTCGTCACTAAATAGTTGTCATTAGTGACGATAATCTGAAAGTGTTTTATTAACGACTTGATCTTTTATCAAAAATGCTCTACTTAAAGTCGTCACTAATGACAACTATTTAGTGACGACATTTTAGGTCATCACTGTTTACTTTTACCGACGGGGATTTAGTGACGACTTTGTGACGATCAAAAAGTCGTCAATAAAAGGTATTTGTGACGATATTTGTATGTTCTGTGATGACTTTGTGTTGTCACTGATGAACAATTTTCTTGTAGTGGGAGCACCATAGCCTTAAGAAATAACGCGCCAGTCCCCAACCAGTTATCATACCAAAAATGACATGAACCCCCTTGAATCCACCAGACCACAGATAGCTCCGCTTGCCTACTGATATTTAACATTCTCCGGCATGTACCGGAGGCGTGGCGACTTAGTTCAACCTGACACAGGGGGAGGTCTCGACAATATTTAGCCCGCATAAAACTCGCCCAGAGTGACGCCCCAGTCCTAAATTGCCACCACAACTTACAAGAGAAAGCCACATAAATATCACTTAACCATATGAGACCCACTCCTTCCTCCTCAACTGGATAGCATAATTTCATCCAACCAATCTAGTGATACCGCGTGCCTTCCTCCAAGACGCCCCATAGGAAGTTCACGCACACCTTTTCCACCAATTTGAATAGCGAAGCAGGTAACACCGCAGCCGATAACAGGTGTACTGGAATAGACAGCAACACATGCCTAATCAAGGTTAGCTTTCCCCCCATGGACAAAAACTTGGATTTCCAGGACAGTATTCTGCTTATAAGCGCCTGAGCTACATCCCCAAAATATGATGACTTACACCATCCGATATATAAAGGAAAACCAAGATACCTAAAAGGAAATTTCTGCCATGTAAATTGTGTGACCCTTTCAATAACCCTTCTGCGGGCAAGAAGTCTACAAATTAACTTTTGTGCTCATGAAGTCTACAAATTGTCCATTATACTATAGTCAAGCATATCTGGCAAAATAATAATGCCTTCATTGGAGGAAAATTGTTATATTATCCCTTTTATCGCCTTCTTTTTTGTTATTATTTTAGATTTCTTTATCCTCATCTTTCGAATTATGATACACAAATTCATTGTCTAAAGTGTTTCTTTCAACTTGCATATAAAATTTTAAGTTCTTACGAAAATTGTTTTACTTGTCATAAATTAATACAGAAAATTAATAGGTATATATTTAATAAAAATAATTAAGTAATTCTCAATTTTTGTTTTACTAACAATTCCTTATTATAAAGAGATTGTTGATAAAATGTGATGAATAAATTGTTAAAAATAGGAATTACATGAACTAATTTAATAATTAATTAATTTTTAATAGTATACATTTAAGCATCAAAAGAAATTACTAGCATATAAAGGAGAAAGAAAAATGAAAGAAATATTGTTCTTATATACCTTATTTGAAATAATTACTAAATGTTTTATCTACAACTTTTTCAATAGGAGAATAACAATATATATACTATCTATTTCATAATAAGGGTAATTTAATTAAGCATTGTTCTTATATACCTTATCTTCTATCTAGAACAAAATGGTCTACGTTGGATAGCCGACTTGTTGGAAAAGAGTACAATTGTTTTGGTACATCTTGACCATACTTTGTACAACCCGAAGACCTTTTTCCTATTGCCTACCATTAAGAAAGTGAGTGCTAATTGTCAAGTAACTACTTGGCAATTACGGATTAGCAGTAAGTGATTCGTGGTACTTGGGTACTTTGTAGTAGTTGACTCGAAAGGCTACCCGTGTTCCGTAGTAGCTTAGAATATAAGCTTTTTGGTCAAATGATCATAGGAGGCGACTGTCCGAAATTAAAACAGAAAGAAGGAAACAAATGCCAAAAGTTCAAGATTTGATTGAACGTGGGACAGCTTTTATTTATTTATTTTTCTTTCAAAGCTTATCCATCATCAATGCATCTGAATGAATCTGCGTGAGAAATGCTGTAAAAAAAAAAATTACATGTTTCCTGATTGCTCGAATACAGCACCTAGAATGTGTGACATTCGATTAGAATATTATTCTAAACTTAGTTTTTTATGAGTCAAAAGTAACCCCACCAACTGAGAAAAGGTTGGAGAATAAATAAAAAGAGAATTAGTTAGGAAAAGAATATAGTTAAATATGACCCTGCCAACCAAAGGGGAAGGCAAGATATCCCGGTGCTCTTCCTTTACACTAAATTGGAAAAATTATTGGATTGCATTTTTTTGGAATTTTTTGAGAAAAATTATTGTAGTATTGTTTATATGATGTGATATATATGAGCTAATATATTGATTGAAAAATGTGAGAAAAATATTTTGACAAAAACTTAAAAAATCTTTTTGCAGAAAAAGCAATCCAAACAAGGGCTAATAGCATTTTAATCTTGTTATCTTTTGAGAACTTGTCCAATTGAGTTTCATACTTATAGCAAATAAATTTAGACCTTGTCTGATAACCTAATTTAGCATTTAAATTTAATAGATTCAGATCTTAACATGTTCAGACGTGTTTACTAATCAAAACTTGAACATCTGAAGTAATTAAATGGTACTGAATTTCCTAGACAAAACTTGCTCTAAAAAATAAGTGATAAGCTATTCACTTATCACTAAATGTAATATACACTTAAATGTATTAGATTTAATACTTAACAATTGAATTGCTTAATAAATTTATATTTCATATTTCATATTTATGTTTTCATACTACAATTTTATTAAGCGCACCCTTAGTTTTCTTAACTTTCAAAAAGATGGACAAATATTTGGTATTTTACGCCGTAAATTTAACATGCACGCGACGTTTAAATCACTTTCGCCGTTATGTTCCACTAAGTTTCCATCTGTACTAAATTGGTTTGAAATGTATGTAAGGGACCAAATTGGACTATACCAAATTCTAAGGGATTAAAGTTGTTGTGTTTTCTACACAGGTTAGATTATTTGTTTAGTCAGTAATTTACACCGAGAGAGAGAGAGAGAGAGAGAGGGCGATTTTAGACCCTCCCCCCCTCTGGTCCTCTTTATCCTTTACCCAGGATACAGAAACTAACATTTTTTTTTTTGGTGCCTGAAGGATACATGATAAACACATTAAATAGAAAGATTGATCCACAATTAATTTCAAAGTCACTATCGAGTATCCACCCTGAAATTGCGCCTTTTTCAAAAAAAAAAATAAAAGAATTGGACTGACTTTTTGTTATGTGCCTTTAAGGCACCAAATATACAAACCCAATAAACATTACATTTTTTGACAAAAACAAAATTACATTTCCCAAAAAGTGTGCAACTGCAATGTGAACAGACTTTGTTCACATATCACACCTTTACTGAGCTTTTCGAATAGTTAGTGATTTAAGTAAAGAACACAGAAACTTCAAAACTGCGGCTTTTTGACAAATCTAGAACACGTGTTTGCCGTTTAATTTAGGGTTTGGAAAGAGAAATTGACTGGATAAATGTTTTGTCCCTATTTGGAGAAGAGATGAGGGAGGAAATAAGTCCTGGATCAACGCAATAATTAATTTGCCAAATATACCTTTTAAATTTGGAGTACGTGATGGGACTCTAGCACATTCCGATTAAAATAGGCTAGAAAAGGCATCAAAGGGAAAAAAAAAAAAAACAATCACTTTTTTCTTTTAATGTAAGGGAATAAAATCATTCAATTTCATTTTGAGGGACTAAATTTTATCATACATGGTATGTGAGGGACAATTTGTGCAGTTTTTTCAAAAAAAAAAAATGTATGTATCCTCTCCGCAAAATCATATATGCAACTGGTCTTATTCTCTCATTCTTTCATGTTCAAAATCATGTCGTATTAACCAGGCAGTAGGATTTTCAATTACATATGTTATCTCCATTGTTTAATGTAAACTTGGTAAGAGCTGAAATACATATATTTCCTACAAGTTTTTTTCTTCATTTTATCAAGCAATTAAACTGATTCCAATCTTCATGTGGTGAATTCCTTTGTCTAATATCTGCAAATTGTCTTCTCAATTCTCAAATTAATTTCTTTGTCATGTGATGACATACGTTGGGCATTTACATGAGAGTTTTGTGCAAAGTACAAATCTTGTACTAGAAATTCAAAGGATAAATTTTAATTTGGACCCCTAAACTATAGACACATTACAACTTTAATCCTTAAATTTTATCTATAGAACGAATCCTATTGAATGTATTTCAAAAATGACAAAATTCTCTCAAAAGCATGAGCTTTATATTTTAAGAGATAAAGTGTCTAGAAATAAATTTAAAGATTAAAGTGAAAGTGCGTCTATTGTTTAATGAAGAGTAAAAAGCGGAAATTTAGTCATTATGAAATAATATGGAGAGTTTAGAGCCCGTTTGAATTGTTTATTTTTTAGAGTTTTTGTAAAAAAAATATACTGTAATGATTTGATTTATGTGAGGTAAAAAAGTGATTGAAAAATGTATTAATAAAAAACGTAAAAATTTTTGGCAAAAAATGGCAGTCTAAACAATAATTGTCCACCTAATTAATTAACTGAATAATCTTCTGTGAAAAGCATAAAATGGTTCAGAAGCTACAATGGAGAAAGGCCATATTTCTCAACATTT